TTATAAATAGATTAAAATAATTTTATTTTCATAATATCTTATGTGAAAGTTTTTTAGATGCTTCATAGATGTGGTATTATGATGTAATACAACTAATAGGTAAAAAAAGGTGAAGAAATTATTATATTATAGAAAATCTTACTTCAAATATTGTAGCAAATTATCTTAAAAAATAAACAATAGTCCAAAAGAAAGTAAAACTAAAGATGTAAATGCTATTTTTTTACAAAGTACGCTTCTATTTACTTTGTAAGGCCATAAATAAGGCAAAACAAGATAGGCTAGAAAAATAAATAATATGAGCATATGTAAGAAGAAATTAAAAATTCACTTTAGTAAAAATTAATTTAAAATAGCAAAATTTGATACCTAGAGAGGACTAATTATCAATTTGAGTCGAAATCAAACCCTGAGGTACAAAACTAGGCACCTATGGCAACTTTGGATTTCTTTTGTAAATTAAAAAATGAGATTTGAAAGTAAACTTGATAGGATTTCTTTAAGCATTGATTTTGAGTGATTTGAGTATGTAATAACTTTGTAAGAGCTTTGCAAAATCACAATTATTATAGGTGATTTTGGAATTTATAAAATAAAAAGGATATTATATTTTGGAGTATTTTGTTGGTTTGGTAGAAGATCCATAGTTAAAATTTTGAAAACTTATGTAAATAGTTGTTTGAAGTATATTCTATAAGTTTGAGCTTGATCAAATGGATGATTTGAAGGTTGTTGAATTTCAAGTAGATTGAGGTCTTGGAAATTAGACTTTAAGTGTTAGTTAGGATTTCTAAGTTCTTTAGCAATCTACTAGTTGGATTGGAGTAAAATTTATATATAGAGATAATAGACTTAATTTGTTACACATACATAAAATTTAAGAATAATTAAATAATTTAAAAATATAATATTGGCACTAAAAATTTAACATTTAGATTGGAGTAGGAGGCTAGCCAATACTTAAGGAAATTTTAGGATTTTTCTTCTATTTAGTAAGTACAATTATCTTTAAATTTTATATACTTTTTTCTAATATAGTTGTTGAAAAGTTTATAAAAATTTAAGCAAAATCAATATTTTAATTGATAGATATTAAAGTTTTAAATTATACTAAGGTAAGGTTGAACTGATTAGGTTTTGGTTTGGGTTTGGTTTAGAATTAGGATTTGGATTTTGGTTAAGATTTGATTAGGATTTAGGATTAGAATAGGATTTGAAATTTGATTTAGAATATGCTTAGAATTTAGGATTTGGCCTAAGATTTCATTGAAGTCTATTAAGATTTCAACTAGGATTAAATTAGAATTTCATTGAGGTTTATTTAAGATATATATGTGATTATTTTAATATCTATTAAGGATTTTTTAAGAATTCTTTTAAGGTTTATTGTAGATTTCTTTTGAATTCTTTTAAGATTTTTTATTGTTTATTTTGTAATTTTTCTAAGGTTTTTTTAAAATTTGATTAAAGCTTATTTAGCATTGTTAAGATTTCATTATATTTTATTTAATATTCTATTAGAGTTAGTATTTTTTTATTATAAATTTTATTCTATTTTTTATAGCTAAGTGCCTAATGTATTTTTGAACAAGATTTCACATAATATCACAGTGGTTTCATCTTCATACATATGTATAGGTTATTAGTAGATTAAAAACCTAGCCAATAAGTTAGCTATATATCATATATATTTTTATTTTGTGATATAAGCTAATAATATGATGCTTATATAAAAAATTCACTTAAAAAATTAATACATATATCTTACAAATTTGACCCATATTGAGGATCTTATTGAATGTTTTTATGTAGCTTCTAGTTAGATAGTATATATGGAGGCAAGAATGAAGCCTTCTTCACTCTTATTAATGTCTTTTTAGTCCTTTAGTCTTATTTTAATATTTTTAATCTTTTCAATTGTAGCAATAGTCATTTTAATTTAATATCATATCATCTTTGAGTAATTTTTTAGTCTTTTTAAGTGACATAAGAAGATTTTGATCTTTTAATTTTTTAAATTTCATATTTTTGATATCAAAATAATATAATAAAGATGAAGATTTTTAAAAAAAGACATATTCTTTCTTAAATAGAAGGCAAGTTATAACTTGTTCGGTATTATGATCTTAAAAGAGACTTACAATATTTGGTGATTTTATTAAAGGTAGAAAAAAAATCTTGATAGTATTATAAATATTTTGTTTGAAGGAAGTTATAAATGCATAAATAATAAAAAAATAACAAGATAATCTTTTCACTTTAGAATGAGGTATTATTCATAGTTGAGAGGATCCATCAACTATCTTCAAAGGAAACAAAGATCAGAGTATGTAGCAAATACAATTTATTGCATCTTGAAATTCTTCTATATATACTCACCACTCCTCATGGAATTTGTTCTTAGAAGAAGGAATAATGTCACAAATATATAAATTTATTTTAATAATTACTTAAATAATATAAATAGATAGAAGTAAATAAAAATAGATTAATTTTATAATATCTTATATACAAGCTTTTTAGAAGAAATTTCACCTTTATATGTGTCTAAAAATAATTGGTAGGTTGAACATTTAGCTAATAAGTTAGTTACATGTTACACATGTTGGTAGCTTGTGGTACAAATTAACCATGTGTCTTAACTATAGGAAAGTTGCTTTGCAAGTCAAGACACGAGTCTTGCAAATTGGACATGTATTGGAGGTCCTATAGAATGTCACTACATAACTCTAAGTTAGATAATATATATATATATATATAGATGCAAGAATAAAGCCTTCTTCATTTTTTATCAACTTCTTTCTTACTTCTAATCTAGTTTCAAGAGTATTTAATTTTTTTTATCTTTTAGCAATAGCCATTTTAATTTCTTTTGAATGTACACATATATATATATATATATATATATATATATATATATATATATATATATTTTGAAAAATTTCTCACTTATTTATTTGTCTTCATTGAATTATTGTCTTTAATAAATAATCTTATGATTATATTTAGTAATAATTAGAATTATACTTTTTTCTAAAAATCATATATTCTATGCTCATATTAAGCATGGTGAAATTTAACAAGACTTTATTTGTGCAAGAATTGAGAATAAAAAGATCAACTTAGTTTTCTTTCCAAGACAAAAGACATGATTGGACATATTTTTTCCAAAGATCTAAGTCATGAAAAACATTGTAAATTCAAAGAAATAATAGAAATGATTCAATTGAATTAATCTAATACATCATTAAGTAAGAGTGTTAATAGAATATTTACATATATGTATAATTTTTATTAGATATTATATAATTATATATATTTGATTGAAGTTGTGTTTCTAATTGACAATGCATTGCTCCCATATTAGTCAATAGTCAATGTTTTATTATTGTCACCTATTAAGCCGTCATGTGGCCTAATAAGACAAGTGTCTACATGTTAGTTGGAGCTAAGAGGCTAAGCTAGTTGTTAGTATATTTGCACTAGCAAGTCCATATTAATAAACAACAAACTTGTATTATAAGAACTAAAATCCAAGATTCATTTCAAATGATTATTTTTTTTTGAAATCTTAAATGATTAGATAGTAATATCATGTTTATTTCACACTATTATACTTCTATCATCTAATAATATATATCTCATATTTTTTGACATAATTTGTGATATTTTCTAAATCTTCTATTAAATTATAAAGTACTCTCTTTCTTAAATACATCTCATCATAGTATAAATTTTCTTTTATTTTTACTTAATTTTATTGCAACATTAATACAAGTATAACTTTAATTTTTTGTGTGCATGTATTGTTTTAAATAACACATATTTTTAATTATAAAATTTAATTTTAAAATATTTCTTAGAAGTGTGTATTTTAGTAATTTAAATATTTTTTTATCATATTAAAAAGTATATTTTTATTTAAATTATTAGATATAATAGATAATTTGTAGTATTAAAAAATATGTATTATACTTATATTATAATTAATATATGAAAAAAAACGAATTTTAATGAAACCATACTAAGAAATAAAAAATGCATTATGATTTAGTATTTTTAAATAAAATAGAATATCATTTAAAATATAGTTTTTAGAAAAAACCAAAACTGAAGAAAAAGAACTTAATCAATAAATTGTAAATGTTCATAATTATTTAAAATGATAAGAAGATGTCTTTGTATTTTCTTTTTGAATTTTATAATGCAAATATTGATTTATTATGATCCATGTTTTTTTTCAACTTACATATAACCAGTTTTTTAGAATATTTTATTTTTAGTGATCTAAAAATAAATCGAATAACTTCATAATAACGTTTTTAAATTTTTAAAGTAAGATTTGTTTTTAAACTTCATAATAACGTTTTTAAATTTAAACTTCATAATAACGTTTTTTAATTTTTAAAGTAAGATAAGTTAGACTCTAGAATTGGACTTATGTGTCTAATTCACAAATCAATAAAACATAATATATACAACATGCAAACCCCCATTTTTATCCCCAAAACCCCCCTTTAATAATAAATAATCTCCTCCCTTACACGGGCTCCAAGAAAAAAGTAAAGAAACAAAGTAAAAAGAAAAGAAGCCACCCACCCACCCACAAAAGTCTTCACACACCATACTTTTTCCCACACCTACAATTTTTTGAGTCATATTATTATCATTTTTATTATTAAAAAAAAGAGAAAGAACTATTACAACAACAACAACAACAACAACTCTCGATCAAGAAACATAAACAAACCTCGGTGTGGGTGATAGAGAGAGCATGGGCTCGGTGCCTATTAAAGAGGGACGGGGGCCCATTATGGAATGGAATGGACCTAGTAAGCGGACATTATTCTGCATGCGAAAAAGCAAAAAGGAGAGAGGAAATATAGTGTGGGGCGGGAGTCAACCCCAGGCTGACGTGGAGTACTAGGGCGGGCGGGAGTCAAAGAGCGCGGGATTGCAGGAAGTGACGGAAATGCGGGCGGGCGATCAATCAATCAACCAGTCGCACCATTTCCCATCTCTCGATTCCCCGCCCGATTTTTCTCCTCACTCCTGCCAATAATGCCGCTCTCTCCCTCATCGTCGCTCTTCAGCAAATTGCTCCACAGCTTCTTCATGTTCTCCTTTTCGCTCGTTCTTGTTGTTGTTGTTGTTGCTGTTTCTGCTGCTGTCATCTCACAGCTCGTCGTTGCGCCGACCTGAATTGCTGGACAATGCGATGTGAATTCGCTTGTGGGTACCTTAAGGGAATGAGAATCTGGGATTGCTCCATTTGGGTCCTGAAGTGGTCCTGATTTGTTCGTGGTTGGAGTTTTGCGGGAGGAGTGTGGAGTGGTGGCGAGGACGTGTCGTTTTATTTATTTGTTTGTTTATTTGGGTAGGCTATTTTAGTGTCGGTGGTGTCAGTGGGAATTGGCGGCTGGTTTTGATGCTAATCCGGAGAGATTTGAGGGGGAGGGGTAGCTCGGGGGTGAGAGACGGCGAGGTGGGGAGGTTAGGGTAAAGAGGTGGCTGAGGATTGGGGTGAGTGCGTCTAGTGTAGCGTTCAAAAGCGATTGTGTGTGTATTTTTGTTCCGTTTTGCCACTTGTAGAGTCCCGGATGGGCGGACTGTTTGCGATCTTTTCGCATTTGGATATTTATGACGGGGACACTGGGTTCGAGCTCGAGGATTGCCTCTGTTGAAAAGTTTCCACGGCTTTGGTTGTTTCTCTTTCCGGTGTGGAGAGTGATTGCGCCGAGCAACAATGGGAGGGGGCTGAATCCCTGTTCTCTTCTTCCTCCTCCTCCTCCTCCTCGGGTGCAAGTAGGATTCGATTGTGAATTGCAACACTGGACGAAGGCAGCATCGAAGGGTAAGCAATTGTGTGGTGGCAGCCGATTTCAGGAATCTGGGTTTATTCTCTCTTAATTTATTTTGTTGGCAGTTTATGCTGGCTGCAATGTGGAGGTTAGACTGGAAGAAGCTTGTGCCGCCCTTGGAAATGTCTTTCCCCATTCAGGGAGGAGGATATCTTGACGGAATTCTTTCAGCCATGTGCAGGGCTCTTGATCAGAGCATCTGTCGAGCTTTAATTCGCACTCTCACGGCGATGGGTGCGAGTAGTTCTTGTGGGCAAGATAAAATAAGTGAGTTCCTCTTCTTCTTTCAAATCTTCCGACAATTTGCTGCATGTCTGAGAGGTCTAAGTGTATGTTCGTTGGAACATCAAGGCACGATGGCTGGTCAATTGAATGGTTTACAGTGTACGCCCTGAACATTTGCTTCAACTACAATCTAAAGTTGGATTATGCTTGTACATTGGTGACCCATGCGCTGATTCTTCTCAAGCTGTATTTCCTGTTGCTTCTTCGTCCACTCGGTGTATGAGTTGAAAGATCATGGCGTGCAAACAATTCACCTTTATCTCAGAAACCAGGGCTGCTTTTTGGTTCGCATGTCGTTCGCATTTAGTGACTCCAAGTTTGCAGTAATTTTGCAGTCCCTCCACGAATGTAAGCAGCCGTAGCCCAGTTGTATGGATGGAATGACAAGGCAACAATGGCTGCAAAAGCGAGTAAGCTGCAGCAATTTAAAGCTTCATTCAATGCATTTCAGTTCGAGATAGCGAATCAGAACCAGTCTTCTCCCAAAATGGTGAAACAGGAGTCCTTTTCTGTGCGGCAAGTTGACACTGGGCTGGAGAGCCTCGTGAAGGCCCTGCAAGAAGAGGCCGTCGTGGTGAAGGCCGAACTTGCACAGTGGAAGAACAAGGCCAATGCTTCAGCTCAGGAGACCGCGGCGCTGAAGGAAGACTCGGACAAGAGGATCGCTTCACTGAAGGCAGAGGTGGAAGGATGGCGAGATCGCGCAGCCATGTCCGCTGGGAAAGGAATAGTGGCCAGGCGGCAGCTGGAGGATTTTTCCAAGCAAGTGAAGTCGTTAAGCACAGAGCTGCAAGAGTGGAAAGAGGAAGCATTAAAGGCTCAAAAGGGGAATGAAGACTTGAGGATAGAGGTAGATGAGTGGAAGCTGGAAGCAGATGCTTTGGCCAAAGAGGTAGTGAATTTGAAATCGGAGGTCAGTTCCTCCATTGCAGTCTTGCAAGCAGATGCAGATAAGTGGAAGCACATTTCCTCAAGTCGTAGTGATTCTATCAAAGTATTGGAAGCGGAGTTGGAGAGGCGGATGCACAAGGCTACGAATCGCAGCGATGAGGACGGGCTTCATATGGGAGAGAGTCAGGCCTTTGCACGAGACCTGCGCGTGGACGTGGATGAACGGAGAGACAGGCTTTCTGAGCTTGAGGCTTCCTCCCAAGCTGAAATAGAAGATCTGAAGAAGCAAGTTGTTTCTGCTGAGAAGGAGCGTTCCGAGCTTGAAGCCTGCTTGCAATCCCAGATAGAGGATTTGACGCAGAAGATTATTTGTGCTGAGAAGGAGCGTTCTGAGCTGGAGGTCTCCTTCAAAGCTGAGATAGAAGAATTGAAGAACAAGGTTGTTGTTGCTGAGAAGGAGCGTTCTGAGCTGGAGGTTTCCTTCAAGCTGGAGATAGACGAATTGAAAAAGAAGGTCATTGCTGCTGAGAAGGAGCAAGAGCAGTTGAAGCAGCGCTTCGAGGCCAGGGTGAAGGAATTACAAGTGGAATTGGAGGAGTGGATGAATGCAGCGAGCGTGACCGAACATGAAAAGCTCGAAAGACTTGAAATGGAGAAGAAATTGAAAGACTCTCAATTGAAGGCCAGAAGAGCCCTGGAAGATCTTGCCCATGAACGGAAGAGGAGTGCGGTGCAGATGGCGGAGCTTCAAGCACAGGTGAAAGATTGGAAAGTTGTTGCTGCAGACTCTTCGGAGGAATGCTCCTCTCTTCGTGTCGCATTTGACAGTGTCGTCCAGGAGCTGCATTTAGAGCTTGCTCAGTGGAAACATAAGGCAGAAGCTTCTAGTGAAGAGGAGAAGTTGGTGACGGCGGAGCTTTCCCAGTGGAAACAGAAAGCGGAAACTTCCAATGATGAGATGAAATCGGTGAAGGCAGAGCTTGAGAAGGTGGTTGATGAATTGCAAAATCAAGTGCTCGTCTGGAAAGAGAATGCTGAAAATGCCTCGGAAGAAATAGCAAAAAACCAAGAGTATGCAGACTTGGTCCAAGTTTTGGAGAGTGAGCTCAGTCTCTGGAAACAGAAAGCAGAAGATTTTCGTGAGGAGGGCAAGGTGATGAAAGCAGAGATTGAGAAGACGGTAGAAGACTTGCAGAATCAGGTGCTCGTGTGGAAGGAAAAGGCTGAAAGTGCTCTGGATGGAGTAGCCAAAAACCAAGAGTATGCTGAGTTGGTAAGAAATTTGGAGTATGAGGTCAGCCTCTGGAAGCAGAGGAACCAAGAAGGCCAGTCTTTGCTCGTAGAATTGGAAGAGGAACAAATGCAATTGATGGATTCCCTGACGGATACTCAAAGCGAGCTGCAGCGGTGGAAAGATAGAGCTGCAGCTGCAGCAAGGGCTGTTCGGCCTATGCAGGATGATTCAAGTGACATCAGTGAAGAAAATGATGAAGAGGACGTCGATTGCCTCAGCGTTTTGCATTCAGAACTCCTCAAGTGGAAAGCCAGAGCTCAGGAAGGGGAGCTCCTGCAATCACAGCTGACAAACGCGGTTGCAGAGACGCAAAAAGAATTGAATGAATGGAAACAGAAAGCCGCAGCCGTGACACTGGCTACAGAATCTTTGAAGGAGGAACTTGACTGCGTGATTGAAGAAGGAAAGATTGAAAGAGAAGAGATGTACAATTCTATCAATGATCTGGAAGAGGCGTTATTTATATGGCAAGAGAGGGCTCAAGAGTGTCAATCGCTTCAAACACAGCTGAAAAATTCTCAGACAGAGCTAAATGAATGCAAAGACCAGTTGAAGACTTCACAGACAGAGTTAAAAGAGTGGAAGGAAAAGGCTGTGGCTATTACCCTGACCACGAAGTCGCTAATGGAAGAACTGGACTTCAGGATTGAAGAAGGGCTACAAGAAAAGCAGGAATTTTGCAAATCCATTAGCTCTCTTAAAGAATCAGTGCTTGGTTGGAAGGATAAGGCGGCTGAGAGCGAATCCATGATAAAAGAACTCAGAAGTGCTCTTTCGGAAACACAAACGGCGCTTCGAGATTGGAAAGACAGAGCCACAAGTGTTGCCATGGCAACTGAAGCACTGAAGGGACAGATGGATTCTACCCTCGAAGCCTACAGATTTGAGAAAGACGAACTCTGCAATACGATCAATGAGCTGGAAGCAGAGGTCTATGAATGGAAAGCCAGAGCTCAAGACGGCATGCAAGTGCAACGGCAGTTGGAGAAGGCTCTGGCGGAGCTGGAGAAAAAGAAGCGGCCCCTACTTAGAGCACATAGATCTAGCTCTATTTCCAGTTGATAACCAAGGAGTGTTACCCATGAAGACCATGCATTTTCATTCGTTATCTAGTAAAGTCACGTCCATTGTATACATATTTCAAGCCCAGGTACCAGAGATGGGTAGTCACTCTGCCGACACTCACAATTCAGTGGGGTTTACTGTTAAGGAAGATCTGTCACGAAATGCTACAGGCAATGTCGAGGGTAGGGGTTTTTGTGTGAACTTCGAGGATGTTCATGATGTGGGAAATATATTGATACACTTTTATTTTTTTGACATGTAGATACGTCCGTGAAGTTAAGACAGTCAGTTCCAGCACTGCATGCTTTTAATTTGATTTCTGAATCGATGTTCATTTCCGACTTGAAAATTGTGAAGTTCAATTTTCAATCTATTTTGTAGGTTCTAACAAATTGGTGGGCTTGCACAGATTCAACACAATTTGACTGATGTTCTTGAGCGTCGCCCCTGAAGTTTGATGTGAGAATTGTGTAAACAATCTTATATGAATGATGGTGTGGTGGAAACCAATGGGCGTTTGTGGGAAACATTGAATGTAAGCTCGGCTCTGCTGTACAGTATTGTTGGCCAGAACCACCCTATATTTATTTTTTTCCCTATAGTGGTGCAGCGACTTTGTGGGTGTGATACCAGCCTCTCCTGAACATTGGTTTTTGAAGGAATAGGGGGTTATGGATAGTCTACTGTACCGATGTGCAGTGTACAAGCTTTTAACGTCATTTGTAAAGAAAAAAATTGTGCAATTTAAGAGGATGGTATAAACATTCAACATGTTGGTGTTTTAGTTCCTATTGTACATGGTTGTGTGCAGGATTTGCAGCAAATTGAAACATATGCTGGAAGCAGCCTTTTTAACTTTCTTTGATCCTGCCCTAAGGTGTTTGCCCTGTGTTATTAATCCTTAGGCTTATCCAGGGAGATGGTATGTTCACATTAGAACATTCTGCTCAGTAAAATGGAGAGCTTGGTCATTTCTGCTTAGAGCGGACGCCAGAGCGTTAGCATGTGACCATTGAGCATACAAGTTGAGTCATTTGGAACCTGACCGTTAGGAATTCCTTCAGGGGGAATAAAAAAAAGACTTGTGAGCTATTTTCGGAACGTATTTTCTATACTGGGAAGCGTGGTATCTATAACGATTGACCAAAAGATCTGAATTTATAGCTTTTAATACAGCGTGTGTGAATTCCTGTGGCTTTATTTCCCTCTTCTTTTTCTCCAGAACAAAACTCAAAGTTAAGTGTGACGAGAACCGAGTGGACGAAAATTAGTCAGTCTAAGAATCTCAGTTAGAATGTGTTGGGAAAGGTGGAAAGTGTTTCAGATTGCAGACAATCATATGCAGCTTTTGGCTTCTTATTAGTGCAACATCAATTTGAATAACTATGATAACACTGCAGCACCCAATACTTTTTTGGATTGTATGTTAAATGCCTTCTAGAAACCGCGCCGAATAACAATGCTAGCCTCTGCACAACGACAGACCCGCGTGACATCAACACCAGCACGTCATGAATTGGAAATGTGAGCCCACCCTTTGCTGCTTGCTTTGTGTTAATATGAAAGTAAAACCTTAGAAATCTTCCTGAACACCCGATTGAGCACAATCAGAGTACCTGCCCCTTCCAGATTTCAGGTTCGTAATGAAGAGATGGCAACCCAACTCACAGACAATTTTCTCACATTTCTGAAGAATTATATCACGTCCTCATGGACGAACAGGGCACATGATTTTTTTCTCAGTAGCTGACATCTAATCATATATGGTTATTTCTCACAAGTAAAATAATGTTCATGACGAGCATCGGCACAATGTTGAGTGCATGAATTTGCCAGACGCAAGTAATTACAGTATGTCGCCACCCGAAGTCGACATCGTAGCCTGGGACGGTACTGTGGTACTATTCCTTCGCAATTTTATCATTGATCGCGCTCACAATCGGTTGTATACGACACAAGGGCGCTCAGGTAGACCAGGTCTACTTCAAAACGGTGCAAACTCACCACAGCTCGTGTCCTGCCCGGATTATGAAGCTGCAGTGTCCGGAATCTCATGAAATCAGCCGTCAGCCCTCCTTCTAACAACCATGGACACTAATTCAGATAAGCCTCCTCCAAATCCACAGCTCGTACGCACACACCCATTACAAACTTGCCGAATTCGTGCGCTGACAGCCACGGCTGTGCCCAGCTGGGGTCTGCACCCCCGCAGCTTCGCCCTGTGAAAATCCTCCAAGTGAAGAAACCTCCAGTCAAAACCCACAAATGTACGACACTAGTCTGACCATATAATCACGCCCCACCTGGGGAAACCATTCAATCCATCCTCGAGCGGTGGCGATCGTACACGAGGCTCATTACAAGCGTCGCATTGGCAATGGAATCTTGTGAGCTACATTGGGTGCTTGTCAGAACCCACCTGACATCTTAAGTCACTGCGCATATCGCCGCGGCTAGCACAATCTTTGAACCTTATATTGCGCCGTACTCGCTTTCTTTCTCTTTTCCTCCTCTCTCTCTGTGAGTCTCCCTCTTTCTGATTGCTGACATGGGATTGCTCGTAAGAATGCGTTTTGCAGTGGACCTTCCAGTGCCAGAGGCGAAAAGGGTGCAGACTCTGGTTGTGATTTGCATAGAAAGCGAGTGGCGCCTGCAGATTCCGCTCGCGTGGTGGTGCGATGAGATGAGAATTCCGCTTGCTCTCTGTCTGCGCGCCTGCGTGCCTCGATCGTCGGTCTCGCCCCCTGTCGCGCTCTAAGTCGCAACGCAACCTCCCATTCAATTCAATGCCCCTCTGTTACTAATGCAAAAACTAATCACGCCCATCTCATGTATAACTGTATACCAGTCTGTCGGACTTCAACATTGTTTTATTATTTATTGTTGTTGTGTGGAATCAGTGAGATTAGTTTGCTCTGATCTTTTGAACTATGGTTACATTGGAAATATATTGCAGTTTAAGCCTTGGGGAGCATTTTACTAAGAACTAAAGATTCAACTTTTTCTACAACAACTGTAGAGTTTCATTGGGGTTTTACATGTTGCTAATGATGATGAATTTGTTTTTTTAAGTATGACGTTACGTTTTGTGTAATGTTTTGCAAGGACGAGCACTTTGAAATTAAATGAAAAAAGTATATTGAAAAATAAAATAAAAGAAGAAGTTGAAGACTGTGGAGAGCATGACATTGTGTGTGAGTTTTTTTTTTTTTTTTTTTTTTTTTTTTTTTCTTTCTTTCTTTCTTTTAAATAATCAAGTATGGATGCTTTTGCCGAAATGTGTGTTTAATTAAATAAATAATGAAATAAAGTGATAATTTAAAAGCCTTTGAAAAGTCTTTAAGGAAAGGAAGAGAAGGAGTGAATGAATGGTCAGCTTCTATTGTCTGTTATTGTTGTTGAAAACAAACAAAAAGCCACATGATGAATGCAAATACAAAGATACTGCAATCAGTCATCCATTCATCCATAGTCTCATCCATTTATGCATCTAAACATTCATTCATCCAAGGTGCTGCTGCCTCCCAAAACCAAGCACCAAATGCTGTTGTGTCCCAATATGGGGCCTATATATACACAATATATGTATGCGTGAATGAATGTATGTTGGAGGGACACATCATTTTTAACAAACATTCTATGGTTATCAAGTGAAGAATAATTATCATATTCTTCCACAGATTGTCACCATTGACACACTTAGCTCCTCATCCTTTGCATCAGTTATACCAGCCACTTGGCTTTCCAAACACAACACATGGGAGTTGCTCCAAGCTTGGGTTTTTAAAACTTTGACATGCATGCGTCTCAGTTTCATTGTTCCCAACAACATTGCAGAAGTGTTTTTTTTTCATTAAAATTTCTCTCTCCCTCTATATCCTCCTTTGGGTTTAGGGTTTAGTGTGTGCCCTTTCCTTTGCAAAGCAGCCCATATTTGCCTTGTTTCCTCCCCCCCTACATACCCTTGCACTCTGCTTTGTCTTGTAATGAAAGCTTATTCCACTTTCACCATCGAAAATGTTGCACTGGACACATATTCTGAACAAAAGGTGTACAATGTGTGTAAGATGCTTCTCAAGTTTATTAAATGCCCCTAGTTTCACAGACCTTAACACACACTAAAAAATGCATCCCAATGTGTCACATGCTTTTTTACAAACATACTTTGCTGGAGAAACAGAGCTGGGTCTTGAGTGCTTCAAAAAAATAGTGGGTGGAATGGATGCTTCAATGTGCATCTGGAAGTGCTTCTTATCCATAGGCCATAATAAATAAAATAAAATAATATAACAGAATGAGAATCTGTTCCTTGTATTTGGGCTGGATCCCACTTGAGTCCAGGTGGAGAAAATCCATTGACTGGATTGATGCCTTGTGTTTGGCAAAATCACTGCTATTTTTTCATGCATTGCAATTAAAATACCAGTATCTAGATGAAATGTAGCATAAACTTTCACTCACTCAAACTTCCTCTTCTAATTATGATTAATTTTGAACTAAATTTAATTATGCTCTTCACAATACCTGCCTGAAAGACAGTTGGGTTACTGTATGAATCAATCAAAAATCATGCTGGACAAGGTTTGATTACTCAAAATAAACCTCATATCAAGGCATGAAAACATGATTATAATTGATCTTTAATTCATTTTTAGACTTACGTCTAAGCTAAACTCATTGACTAAAAGTATATATGTGTGGAAAGAAAGAAAGAGTCATCCCATACTGTCATTGAACACACCCCATCTCGCTGACCACACCAACTTCAATACCTGATGACAGCAGAGTGTCTCATGTTACAGTAACCTTTCATTTTTATTTTTATTTTTCCCACTTTTGCAATGTTTTCACTCTTGCAAGGTTGTTGCACCACTTTCATTTGCTTACATGCATACATTTTTTATTTGTTTATTTGAGGAATCAATGGGCTGAATGGTTGCTCAAGTCGGGTGCAAACCTTCTGGAATTTATTTTGATTTTGATTTTAAAAAAGAGAAACCAAAAAGCCAGATCTAGCACCCACAAAGCAATTTGTGTGTGTGTGTGTGTGTGGAGGTGTCAGCACTAAGGCAGGGCTTTTCTCCACCCCCCACCATGTCTCTTTCTCTGTCAATTATGATTTTTGTTGTTGCTGTTTTTATTATTGCCTGTGGACACAGTGGCAATATCACACGTTGTGCATGTGTGTTTTTGTGTGTATGTGTGTGCTTCGGCACTGTTTAGGATGCACAGGCCTGTTTTCTTCCATTCATGAGGTGCTGCACCTCTGTAGAAGCAGCCCATGCAAACCACCCTTCTTCATTTCCCGCAGCTCACATCTCTTAAGATACCACACAGCAACACCACAAGGGGCGTGTGACTAATAAGCAGGTCCTTTTCTACTAGCAGAATACCTTGACTCCGAAAAGTTTTGGGGTGCCTGTGAGCAGACAGTCCACTGTTGGGTTAACTTATTCTTCTCCTCCGCCTCCTCATGTGAGGTACAAAAAAGCATCACCACAGCTCCAGATCCTCCTCATAACACATGAACACAAGGAGCTTCACACAAGTTGTTAAATTTTTTCTTAGATAGTGACCCAGAGTACTCTCGTATTCTTCTTTCTCTATTGGATTCCGAGCAACGGCTGGTGACAGAGTCCATGTGACATCCTACAACTGACTGGAACTGGAACAGGATCACCTGTGATGAACAAGAGGCTCTCCTCAGCCACAGCTGGTGCCGCACCACCCACAAAGAGCTGCAGAATCCAGAACCAACACCAACATCAATAAGAGCGTGGTCTGAAAGGCTGGCTCATTGCTGGAAATTCCTCTGGTGTGGGATGTCGCTAGTTGTTTTCCAGGATGCGAGTGTCACATTGTGCGTGATAATTTGGTACCGGATGAATGACACCGTCGTCCTTCGCAACCTGAAGAAGACAGGGATGACACGTCGTCGGTTTTTAAGGGGGGAAAAGTGGAGGGCTGGCTCGAACAACGCGTGTTGCTAATCTTAGAAGCGCAGGTGAGAGAGAATTCATCTCTACTCAGTGCAGGTGAAGTCTACTGGAATCTGCCAACAACCCCCTCGCGGTAAGGAATAGGACGACAACCAAAAACGAGGGGGAGGGTCGAAATATTGGCACCTGGACAGTTCACAGGCACTTTTTAAATAAAAGTTCTCATTCCTCCCAGGTGGTGTGACCTCGACTCGGCAGGTGAACTGGATTACTATACTTTGCGTAAGCCAGCTTGGGGGTCTTTAAAGTCGGAGGACAACCAACGGCTGGCTAATCGTAGGGCTCAGCCCCATGCAACAACAGATGATCCGAAAGCTGCAAAGCAGAAGTGTGCTGCTGCTGTTACGGGATCCACCTTCATCCTACACTATTATCTTTTTACACTCCCTGTCAATGTGACGAAGTAGAAATTGGGGGAAACGCTTTTCGATTGAAAGAGGATGCGCGAGAGACACTATGACATGAGAGAAGTGGGGAAGATTTATTTTTGATATATCTGTTTTTTTAAAAGAAACGAAAAAGGAAAGCCAATACATTAAAAAAACAAAAACAAAAACAAAAAACTCATGCTTCCCGGAAATGTCGGGGTGCTCGTGAGGCTTGCGAGTGCAGTAACAAAAGTTCGCACAGGTTTCCGAGTGGTGCGATGGAGCGAGGGATCGGGAAGAGAGGGAATTCAATCTTCGTGGCCGGCTCCAAGTGGGTTTGACTCCAGAACCAATCTCTCCTTAAATACCGTAAAATTATCATTGTTCACTGGACTTGGCATGAAGACTATGTGCACAACAGGCTGAACACCACAGGCTGGCCACCGCTTTAAATATAGGGTTTCATGCGTAAAACACTCCCGTGCAATGGAGTAATCATCATGGCACTGTCCACACCGCGTGCCCCCCCTCTCCTCATTCGACTCTTTCCTTCTCTCAATCTTCGCCTGTTCTTGCCAGAGAAATGGAAATGTTTCTGCGTCTGCACCAATAGAATATTTCTTTTCTCACGGAAATACTAATAAGGATACTAATGAATACTGCAATATTGCTGCTGTTTCTATCAGTCTTCGGTAAATCATGTGTTTTGAAGTTTTACCTCTTCACAAGAATCTCACGAGTCTCGGTAATGTGTAAGAGTACCTGATATTTGAAATTATTTTCCACAGTAAGCCCTTTGTACAAAGCAAGGGGTTTGTTTTAATGATTCCAGTGAATAAGGATCTTGGACGGAAGCGGCAGAACAAGCTGGCAAGGACTGCCTCAGTGGCCAATCGATTTTGTGAGCTGGACACTATCATTGCAAAATTGGGCTTACAAACCCACAATGATGAGTCACGTTTTGCAAAAAGTAGGGATCATCTCACCACAACAATCACACTGAGATTTTTCTGTGAGTTTGAATGGGCCTCAGCTTCGTTCTATTATTGAATAATCGTCGTATTTTAATATGAATCGTGTCCATGAAGGAAAGGAATCCATACAAACTTTATGCTTGAATTTGCAGAATCTGGAAGACGTTCAACAGCAACACCTGGGAGTACTGAAATTGGAAGCGGCAGCTAAAATAAAACACGAAGTCTGGATTGGGGTTCTCGGAACAGAAGTATCCTCAACCAGAAGGCAAGGGTGTCAGTTTCCTTTTGACTGATGCGGTTTCTACGGGAGCGTTCTCTCTTGGTCTCGCTCTCCCCCCCCATAATTGCAAGTCTTGGAACGAAACCGTCATCCGGGTCTAGGGCAATCCGCATATCGTAGGCCACATGACCTCCTGCGGTCGCGGCGTGAGCTCCAGCAGTGGCTTCCAGGTAGACATTTTTGGGGGGAGAACGCTGCGAGTGGAAGAGACTTCAGTGAAACCGCGTGCTGAAATGGAGGGACATGCTTGGCAGCAGGGCAAAAAAGGAGAATTGCATCTCTGTTCTGCTCCGAAATTATCTCACCTGTCATGCCTTATTTCTGGAGTGCACCTCAAGTTGACATTCCCCGACGCTCAAATCGCCAAGGGAAAACCCACCGAGTGAAACCTATTAACCGACTCATTTCCTTTTCGTGAAACACTGAAGTCTACCCCAAGCGGTCACTCGCAGTTCCCCGAATGAGTATGATGCCAGAATATTCCCCCGGGGCAAGACGACACCGTCATACTGTGCTGCTCCTCCTCTTCGTCGCCTTTTTCCGACCGAGCGAGTCTCTGTTGTTTCACGTGTTCATTCAGAAGGTTGTGCGAAACGCAGCAAAGGTGAGTGCCACTCACCGCAAAGTCGTCGTCGTCCATTTCCGTGCGCGCTACAGTATGAGTATGAGTATGTGTGCCGCAAGTCATCCTGTTCGGTTCTGACCGTGTGGTCAGTCCAACATTGTTGTAAAAGATCCTTCATCTACCCTTCTCCTTCTTCTCGCTTGACTGAGAAGCTACAGCTGGAGTCCACTTCCATTGCTGCTACTTCAGATTGCACAAACGGCATCTCCTCTATCTCTGGAAACAACAACAACAACACTACCAATACACACGAAATGGCTGAAAATCAGAATAAGGGTTTCGAGAGTGAATTAGGATTTCAGGGGTGGTCATGATCCTGAATGCAATCCATACAATACAAGTTGTGAAATTTGTGCCTGCATTTTTTGCATACGCAACGTCGGATTCAAATGAAGTGGTTATAACTGTAGTTAGTCAAACTAACTAACGATATGTTTTATGAACATTTGTGTACAACTCTAAAATTTTAGAAGTGATGTTGTCTAAGAAAAATACATTTTTTCTTTTCAATTGAAATGTTGGTTTTGTGATTATCTCTTAAGGGTGCATTAAGTAACAAAACAGATGTGTAACAAATTTGTGCAAAGTTATACACAATTTGATATACTGATTATCTATTAAAGGTGCATAACATCTTTTTTGTTTCATATGCTTGACTTTTGTTTAGAAATATATATATATATATATATATATATATATTCCACAACTACATACTAAAACTTGCATTCTAGTTTAATACCCAAGTCAAATAAAGAACCTTGATTTGAGCTGGCTTGAAGTCATCTATTGTTAATAATATTAATCATTGGTCATTGGCAATGAACAAATGAATGTATGTATGTGTTCAAAAAGGAACAAAACTGGGGGCAAATGAGAAATATAAAAAAAGATAAATGTTCAATACTCCATTCTTGGATTGGAACAAAATACTTCACAAACATTCATTTTACACATTATCATATACTTTTTATAACACATTGTGGAGTGTCAAGGTAATTAGAATTCAATGTAAAAATCATGGTCAACACGACATACTTCACAAAGCAGGCAGGCAACATCATGACAGTCCCTTCAAACGCGTTGAGATAGTGTGAACGAAACCAAGTACTTTACTCTGATACCATAGCAATGTAAGTGACATCACCCCCAATGACACCCTCACCCGTAAGCCAAAGCTCTTGTTCTTTCCATTATTATTTTCCATTATAAATCAATAGAGGTAAATTAAAATTGCAATTGTATTTCACAAACAGTTTTCAGTGTATATGATAAACTTTAGTATACACTGAAAACTTTAAGAAAGTCCAAAATTCCACTTAATCTACAAAGTCCAAAATCCAAAATTCCACTTAATCTACAAAGAAGAAAAGATAAGAAATTAAAGTTAAAAGGAAATAAAAATGAACTTTATAGTTTCGTTCAAATCCCAATATTTCAAAGCGAGCCACGAGGAGGAAAATCGACAGGTGACGTGGAAGCTGGTTTCACCGAAGGTAGAAAAAGTAAATCCCGATGCAGTAGGGGTAAAAGCGAGGTGGGTAAGAAGCGATGGCGGAGAGTACGGAACCGAGGAGGAGGGAGGCAGAGTTGGCAATCCACAGCTGGCCCACACGCTCGGTCAAATTTACCTTAATAATTATTTTATTTTAATTAATTTTTTTGCTTACTTAATTCATTAATTTCGCGTAATTGTTGTTCCCTCCTTTATTCTTCTTCTCTTCCTCCATTCTGACTCCCCCTGAACTAACACCGCGTCGCTCACCGCACTGAGAGTATCACATCATCCCCTCTTCAATCTCCGTCGCCTCTACCATCGCCAGCGCCATTTCGCACTCTCTACTCCTGCTCTCTTGTGCTTCCCTCCTCCTCCTCCCTCTGCTGCTGCTGCTGCTCTCGTAGCTCCTCTTTCTTCGTCCTCTGCTATCTGACTGTGCAGCTCTCTTGCACTTCCAGAACTTCACTCTTCTTCGTTTTGCTCCTCTATGGCACATTGACTCAGTCGCTGCTATTCGACCCCTTGCCTGCGGGCGCGCCTGCCATTTTGTCTACCTCGTGTGTTTGTGCCGATTCTTTTTCGGTGGAGTGCGTGAACCCGAGTGGCGACCGTCACAGATTGATGAAGACCACGCACCTGGCTGACTACTACATTTGGTGACTGCCGCTGCTTATCGACTGCTGCTGATGACGAGCGACGTCTGTTGCTCCTTGTGAATCGGAGTGAGTGTTTGCGACGATCTAGAAGGGGACGTGTTAGCGGAACGCATCTGGCAGGCGAACGCGTCGTTCTTGTTTAGAGACTGGAGACTTGAGTTTTGTTGTTCAACGCTGCGAGGTGGAAGTGGGGGATTCGGCTTGGCGGAGAGTGGAGCAGTCCTGGAGCGACATACAGGAAGGCAAGGCGCGAGTATTGTGCGGGAGGTGATGCTTCGTTGAAGTGCTGTGTTTAGGCCTCGTTGACGTGCCTTCGAGGCACTGCAGCGTTGATTGAGGGTGCTGACTGGCTAGGATTGCCCACTCTAAGGTTTAGGTCTCGGCGGTAGGTGCGAAAGGTTTCGATGCAGGTTGTTTTTACGTCGTTCTGGTGAATGTAGCACATGCTGTGATCGAGTCAGTACTTGACAGGGCACTGCTCCGCTTTACTGCTTCCGTTTCCCCTGACAAACCTCCTGCCTACGAGCAAGGGTATACCTACTATCTAGCTCCTATCTAACTCAGCTGCCAGCCATGGTGCACAGATCAGTCTCTACTATCACATCATTGTCAATTATATTGCTTACTTTCTCTGCATTAGCCACTGCAGTAAGGCCTTCACCATTCGACTTCCCTGCTAGGGCTGAGCTGCACTCGGAACCCGCTCTACATTCTCAGGGATCAGGACCGCAGTATTCGTCAGGACCGGAATGGCCAGAATTCAGAGAAGCCCCGGCGTTTCGGAATGGGAAACAATGCGCTTTCGTGAACAGAACAGAGAACGAGCTGGACCACATATGTGACCGGAACTCGGTGCACATTGCGATGACACTGGATGTGAAGTACTTGCGTGGCTCTATGGCCGCGGTTTTTTCCATACTGAAGCATACTGCGTGTCCGGAGAATGTCATCTTTCACTTCTTTGCTGCAGACCGTGACGAGCAGCTGCGGTCTCTCATCTTCTCAACCTTTCCCTTTCTGAGATTTAAGGTGTATCATTTTGACGAGGCGCTGGTGAATTTAAGGATCTCTCCGTCAGTGCGACCTGCTCTGGAGCACCCTTTGAACTATGCACGTAGCTATTTGGCGGATATCTTGGAGCCGTGTATTCAGCGAGTCATATATTTGGATTCCGATCTCATCGTCGTGGACGACATTGTGAAGCTATGGGGGACAAGGCTAGGGCCTTACGCCATTGGCGCCCCGGAGTACTGCCACACCAACATGACGAAATACTTTACGAACGCGTTCTGGCAGAATAGAACCCTGTCTCGCACCTTTGATGGGAAGAAGCCGTGTTACTTCAATACCGGGGTCATGGTGATGGACATGACGAAGTGGAGAACTGAGAACTACCGCGCGGTTATCGAACAGTGGATGGGGGTCCAGAACAGGACCAGGATTTACGACCTAGGTTCGCTTCCTCCATTCCTGCTCGTCTTTGGAGGGTCCGTGGAGCCAATCGATCACAGGTGGAATCAGCATGGTCTTGGTGGAGACAACCTGGAGGGTAAGTGCAGGCCGTTGCACCCGGGTCCTGTGAGTTTGTTGCACTGGAGTGGCAAGGGCAAGCCATGGATCCGAATCGACCAAAGGAAAACATGTCCTGTGGATAGTCTGTGGGCTCCTTATGACCTTCTTCAACCCTCCGCATTATCTTACCAATAAGAATGCGTTCTGTGGGCATCGAGAAGTGAAGGAAAATAACTAACGTTAGTTGCAGCATAGATGCATAGATTGTTGTTGTACAATATTACAGAATTAGTCTAGTTTAACGGAGTCCGGCTGATTTGACGGGCTTCCACAATTCTTTCTGACAAAATATTTAATAAGTTTGCGAACACGTGACCGCACTAACTGCAGGACATCATCCACGCAAGTGAGAGTGTCCTTTTGACAAGAGTAATCGGGTAGGGATAGCGAAAGGATGTAGAATCCAATGAGAGGATTTTTGCATCTCGTGTCTTAAGTCGTTGACAATTATCGTACATGGTGAATTGTGGGCGGGGTTCGCGAAGTGCAACCTTGTTTTTGGTCACCATTAGCCGAGCCGGCAGAGTGCTAGTAGCAGGAAATTCTGTCGTTTGTTCATTGTTAGCTGAAGAGCTCCGTATCCCTCGTGCCAGAGTTGTATAACTTTATGATGCTACCAATGACAAGAACTTGGGTATCCGTTGCCATTCTGTTCCCCGTCTTTGCGTGTACCCTCATTTGTGTGTATCTCCGCATTCCTGTAGGACGTCTGATCTCTTCTCTTCTAGTAACTTGGAGGGTTGCAGTGTACTTGCGAAATGGTTATTGATTGCTCTTGCATTCTTGAGCGGTGTACTGCATCGTTTGCCTGAGGCGTTGCAGCTGTAGCTTTGAGTTGCTCTTGTTTAACGTTGTGATAAGGTACACGGGATTCTTTGTCTCCCAACCTGCCTCATTACAGGGGACATCGCTGCAGCAAATGTCATCGGAGCTTGTCAGTGACACTGTATGACATAACAGCTCACGTTGATGAATTTCAGTGGCTGGACCTACCATGTGACTTACCTCGAATTAGCTTTACACTTGCATGCAGCGCGTATGAGATTGTTCGGGTCCACAATGGCAATCTACTGGAAATTGGATACAAACTTGCTCTTACGTGTATCAACTTAAGTAGGGAAGATAGGGATGTGTTCGACTCCCTGTAAGGCCTAAATTCATAGACTAAGACGTAAAAACATTACTATCCACGGACTGGTTGCAGTATTTTTTTGGCCCGATTTCTCGTTGATTAGAAGGTTGTCATGCATCTTTTCTAAGGTCCCAACAATTCGACCCTAGAAATTGCTTTCAGCTCCTTTCATCTCCTTCATCGCATTGATATCAAGGTCTTTTTAGGCTCCACTTCCTTCGAAACGAGTCCAGCAGGTACGTAAATTTTGCACCAACAGCGACGTACGCATCTCCATGATCTGCTTGCAGTAGAACTCGTGAAGCTGATTCGGAGATGCAGATGGATATGTATATGCAAGACCGTCTACTGCTCTTAGTGTGATCACCTTTCCCAATTTGTTCTTAGACTATCTCGATCTGAATAGTCAATGGAATCTCTATGAAGTGCCAGCATACATAATCTCCACAACAGTACACGAAATGTGGACTTTTTTGTGGTGCGAAAACAGCTGTATGAAGGTTGTCAATGGAGTAGAAATACTTCTCTATTGTCAGAGCTGAAGTTGAACAACCAAATCACTCTTTGAAGCAGCGTTTGGCTGTGGTACCAGAAGGGAGGATTCCTTCCAAAGTGAAGTTGTCATCCAAAGACTGTCAAAAGCCACACTGCCCATTTGCCGAAAGATTATGCCCTTGGATCATCTTGTTTGGACGACTTTCTCATCCTTTAGCAAACTGGGAATAAAAAAGACATTGAAACATGTGTTGTTCTTTAAGTTAAAGTTTATACAGTTATTGTGTCCTTCTGATCCAAACTTGGGCAGAATTGAGAAAAAAAAAACATTGTATTGTTTGGAAGTCTTATTATAAAACTGTGCAGAATAGGAGATGGTGGGTAGGTGGTGAAGAGTTGATGGCAGCAGGATGTAATTGCCATCCAGACCTGGAAGCCACGAGAGCATGCGCCAACCCTTCTTCACTCTATTCTAGTAGTACACTCCCTGCTTTATTAGAAAGAATATAACAATATATATTAAAAAAACCCCATGACATCCTCTCATCTTCTGAGAAATGATCACCAAATTTCCAGCCTTATTAACCCGTTTTTCACTATTGCTGCTGCAGGCTCGAGAACATATTTAATTAATTTATTCGTTTAATTCCTGCTTTCTTCTTCATTTTAGGTTTTTTTTTTTTTTTTTTTTTTTTTTTTCAATTGTAAACCTATTGTGAAGTCTTTGATGAGACGTTAAATCGACCAATTTGAAAATAATACATGATACATTTGTTTATGCATACACACTAGTTACTGTACAGATTTTATTTTAACTTTACTGTTTAATGTGCAGTCATTAATTTGTGAATACAAGAAATAGATGGCCCCAATATCCATAACAAGGAGTGAAAGACAACAGGAGCAGTCAAAGCCATAAAAAAAGGGCTGATCACTACGTTCATGGCTGCATGAAAGGTGCAAACTTCCATTTATAATTCAAATGATTCATTTAACTTCTTTTATAATGTTAATACTTTGCATTTATACTCTCAGGAAAGTACAATTTATTTTTAATTTTTAAATAAATTTGATTGCCTGATTTTTAAATCTATTTGATTATGATATTATGATCATTACAGCAATGCACTTGGTACTACAACTTTAAATTGCAATAATTGTGAAATTTCAAAGTATCTGGTTTGCAGTAATTGCAATAGCTGTTGTGCACATACAACTCAAGGCAACTTAATGATACATTTTGAAGTGTTCATTCTTCCCAGATATTGAAGTTTAAAGTTTTTCAAATTTGGAGGATTTGCAACTAGGTGCTGATTCTACCATGAATTGATGCATACCTTATTTCACACTAAGCTGCACATGAAGGACAAGATAGATTGCTTTGCTTTAAACACAGACCCCTAACTTCTTCTCCTCTTCAATACTTGAAAAGCTCTAGAAATTTACATACTTGTCAGGGAAGAATAATGGGTTTTGACAACTCATGCAATGGAAGACTTGAGAAGCTGTACAGAAACAGAAAGGAAGAGTGAGAGAGAGAAAGAGTCAGTTTGTCTCTCAGATGTCACAAGTTCTGACTCAGTCTCAGTGCCTCAGAACTGGCACCCACTGTTTCAATGTTCACTTAAGCTTCTTCTTATTACACTCAGCTTAATGAAAAACCTGGTGGCAGATTAGCAAGAAAAACAGAAGCTGGTGATGCCTTTTTCTTCCTTGCATGGGTTTGTGCTCCATGTTCAGTAGCAAGATAAACTCTAAATTTGGGGGCTCTCAAGCTTCAGTCTTATGGCATTGAACATGAAGATGTCTTGTGTATGCAGGAATTGGATTCCAAGTGCCTTCATGTGAACCTGGTCTTTTCAAATGCCAGCAGTTCCTTCTTTTCTTTTTTTTTTTTTTTTTTTTTTTTTCCTTCCCAATTTGGTGCTGAATATGTGGCATTAGTGTAGGTCATGCAGACACATGTAAGAATAACACAACCTTTCATGATGGTTGGTGCAGCTTTTGAACAGTTCAGAACAGTTCTTTATATATCTATTTCTACTTACATGGAACTCGTTTAGAACAGCTTTTTTTACATTACCATGTGTTTATCATATCTACAGCACCAGTACAAACAATTGTAATTTAAAACAGTCATTTTAATGTAAGCACAGAATGGGGAGCATCTTTGCAACAGAATCCACCTTGTGGGAATTCATGCTTGACTTTGTGGTCAAATTGCTAGTCTGACACACAGGCAGTTGTTACTGTAGTTTTTTTTTGTTTTTTTTTTTTGTTTTTTAAATTGTTTCATTTTGCTTTTAAATTATTATATTGAATTATGGACAATACCCATGCAGTTGTAAAGTGGGAGGGCATTAGTGGTGTTCTATTTCCTGAGAGCTGGGTTCCTCAAGTCACAAGCAACATGGCTGTCGGTGACCCATTCCAATGATCTTTAGTCAAACAAGCAATCCATCTAACAAACACAAAATGGATTACCCCCAAATTCAGGAAATATGCAGACTCTCAATTATGATCAATTATTTTTCCTCATGGACAAATTCAACACCTCCAGGGCTTATGGCATCTTATCCACCACCACCAATAACAAAACTATTCATGAAAATCTGCCATTCCCAAAAGGTAACCTCATACTACTCAAATAATGAACAGCAAATAAAAAAGTAAAAAAAGAAATCATTCTGTTACAACCTCAGTGGGTATTTTTCTAACTATGCATAAACATACACACACACACACACACAAAAATATATATACATATATATATACACACACAATGAAAGGTGGATGTGTAGCATCTCAATTATTGGTGGCCCCACAGGACGCTGCAGCCACGCTGGCAAATAATCATTCATAGGCCCATCTGGACTCTTATGTTGGTCTGCTTGCCACTTGGCCATTAAATGCCCCTTTTTTTCTGTCCTTTTTTGTCATTTATTTATTTATTTATTTATTTGCCCTTTCAGATCACCTTATCACTTATTTTTTTTATTCTTCCCACCCTGGGTTTCATAAAAGGTCACCCATAGCTTTTCCGCATGTGTAACAGCAGGAGGACTACTTTTGTTCAACAAATTTTGAGAATTCATCAAATAGTATCTATATATAGAATGCTAATTTCATCACACTTTTGGCTTTTACCACCACAATTCACTATCACATATTTCTTAATTTTTCTTTTTATTATTATTCCAATCACATTTTTTTACATTCAATCAAGTGGTTTGAAAGGTATTGAACAAAGGTGGCATGTGATGAATGGGGGTTGTGGTGGCAATAATAAAAACTGAAATGGTATTAGCAATACCCTATATAAATATATATATATATATATATATATTAAAAAAACTTAAATTCTCACTTTGTCTCAACAAATTCAGTACCACAAAATCACATTCCTATATATATATATATATATATATACTTGATATGAATGTCATTCTGTTAGAGTAAAGAAGAAGAAGAAAAAATAGCCAGATTAGACTGTGTCCTCCAGACATCCAACATGTGCATGAGGACCTTTTCTTCATGTATTTATATATTGAATTTTGTGAGAAGTATATGTGGATATGAACTGCTGCTCTGCCATTAAAGAGAATACAGGAGCTTGCAATTGTGTGGAAAATTGCTTTGCCATGCAACTCATCTACAATGAGATGAAACAGACCATCCAACAGCAGCAGCTACACAAATCACCACAAGCAGGATTTTTCCAACAAAAAATTTCTCTTGTCTAACATTCAAGCTGCCCTGCAGCAGCAGCAGCAACAACTTGTCCTCAAGTTAGAAAAAAACTTGAACCCCAACAATTGTCCCCAAGTTGGTGTACTCATTTACTTCGACTCTGTAATTGGGTCAAACTCTCACCAGATCCTTTACTGCCCCACTTGAGTTGCCATGAGCCTCTCCCTCTCAGCTGGGCCAAGAATGTGCATTCCATCACTTTCACAGTCCCCATGTCCTTATCTTCAAAGCAATACATCACCACCATGGAGGGGGGGAAATCATAAACATAGCAAACAAAATACACAAAAAAAATAAAAATAAAAAATGCACAGAATATGAATGAAATAAAGAGGGGTTCACTCACATTGTTTAGGATTGGAATGCAAACCCTAAATTTCAGCAAGAATTGCAGGAATCTGGCAATGTTTACAAGAATGCTTAGCTTTTGCATAAGATAAGCACTCTGGCAAGCTGGCTGAGAGCTGGGAGCACATACACACACTGATTGACTAGGTCAGAGAGTTAAGTGGTGATGAATGGAGGGCGCCATGTGGTGGAGAATGGCAGCCACACTCAATTGGCAGGAAGGTGGTAGCCATAGCTCTGCTTGCATCATCATCATCATGGTGGTGGTGGTGGTGGTGATGGTGCCAGGGTGTTGGAGGCATGCTAAGAGGGGCTCAACATAATATCTCTGGGGACTGCATTTATCAGATCCCATATATGCTCGTTTACTATGGCATAGGCTAGAGAGTCAAACATCAGAGGATATGAAAATGAAATAAGAGTCTAGAAGAGTTGCAAGTGTGCAAGTAATCAAGCAAGCAATTCTCCTACAAAGATTTAAAGCCTGTCTATCATGATGCCTCAATCATCAACCCACTGGTAGCAAACTCACAGCTTAGTTGATCTTTGCTGCAGTACTGAGCAGGAGCCAAGATATCCTTGTAAATGAAGAGAAAGGTCTACCTCGAAATCCTCTGACAACCAACAAGCATGCTTCGCTACGAGGGTATACGTCTCATGAGAGCTTAAATGGAAGGTGATTTTCAACATACAGTCCACCAGGCCATGGAAGGAAAATCGGCAGTAATCAACCAGTTCATTCATTACGTATCTAGATCAAGCTTTCACGGAAATCCAGTATATTTAAGTACGCATGTGTTAGTAACAGTGCATTGAAGTGCGTGAAAGGTTCAGGTAGTCACAATTGGGATATTAGATGAGTAGATTGTATTAAAACATAGGAACGCACGAAGGTATGTAGAAAAACTGTTCCCACATGAGACCAACTTCGAATACACTTCTTTCGCTGCAGTAGAGATGTATTGTTCAGGCAAGGCGTTCTGCTCGGTTTTGACCCTCACTACTCACCGATTGGCCCGACCAGGAAAATTTTGGGTTGCAGGTAAAACTGCTCTCTCCAGATTGACTAGACAATATGTACAGATATACAATACATGTGCCGACCTCCCGCTTCTTTGTAGATGTTTCACTAGCTTTCTTGTGGGCTATGCTTAATTCTCCATTCTGTCCTACCACGATTAATTTCTCTCCCTACTTTTGTTAACCTTAAAACGTGCAAGAAAAGCAGAGTGGAATGCTTGGGCGCCGCCGAATACTTGCCATTGCTCCCAGCCGATGGATATGTTCCGTGACTAGCGACAGTTGCGTACTTGGGTTCCAAAAGCAAGGACACGGCTTCAGCGGTCTCTGTGTTTTCAGGTGTCGCTAGGGATTCAACGACATTATCTGCCTTGCATTCACACTTGTAGTCCAGTGTGATCTGTGTTAATTCATAATTGTTCGAAACTTCTGGTGGGATCGCCTGCATGGCAAATTTATTCGATGTTAATGAGCCACTAAACAGAGTTCCTTGATAAGCAACCGAAACAACGTGCTGAGCGCATGGTTCCAAATTGGAATTCCTATTAGAGGCTTAAGGAGCAGTAAGGAAACTTAAACGCACCTCAAGCATCCAACATACGTAAGTAACATTATTCACATGTTCATTCATGTCCAAGTCGTTCCTTCTTGGCTGCCGCGAGGAACGACAAAAAATTAATGCTGGATCTTTTACATTCATCACCACTCGCTAACAGATTAGTACACACCTCAAAGAGTTAACAAGAATTGCGGCACGAAGTGGTCGAAGGACTTCGTAAAGTTCTCTAACTCCATATGAAAGTGTTTGTTAACATGATGTTCAACGAATTGGATCGAAGGTACTCTCTGAAAACGGGACAATGAGATACACACCATTAAATTGGAGCGCCCAAACTGGGCTATATCCGGTCTCCCGATTTTCTTGGTGCTGCTGTTATTCTCTTCCTTCGGATCAAACGCCCATCTGGAGGACAACGGACATCATGGGTCGTTTATCATTCAGATTAGAAATGAAGCCCAACACAATGCACGAGCAGGTTATTAATTCCAAAACCCAAAGTTCATCATCAGACGAGAGAAGTAGTTCGTGATTGGCATCATAAGATGGGCATGGCAGATGATAGGCAAGAATGGTACCTTGGTGGAATCGGCACGTAAGGCATGTACTCTTGCCTCACATCATCAGGAATTCTTGACAATCTCCTAGTGTCCATGTTCATCATTACCCATGTGCTGCATCCATGCACAAGAAAAAAAAAAAAAAGAACACCCGCCTGATCAGGACACACTGACAGCATGCGCATGTTTCTTGAAAATCCAAGTCAGAAGTTTCGAATATAGATAGACAGGTCCCCGAGACACGATACACATAAGAAACCATTACCTTGTAGCCCTTCCTATCACTTCGCCCGTTTTGTCACTCCTTATGATCCAATCCCGACGAGTTTCAATCCGACCTTCTCCTTGATACCACGTGTCGATTTCAACAATATCACCCCTGCATAACATTGAGAGCCACAGAGCCCTTCAGGGATAAAACATCTGATTTCCTTCTAAAGTGAGCTACCTATACGAAAAAGGGGAGGAGAGAGACAATTAAAAATAAGAATAAAAGACGATTGCTTACCAGACAGGGTACTCCTTCATTTGAATGTGCATGCGCGTAGTAACCCAAATGAGGTGCTTCTGTCTCATAATAGGAGTAGTGGCAAATCCGTCTGTTGAAAATCCCACGCTCTGCGCATGATTGCATGCCACTTCCTGCATGGATCACATCCAACAATAAGAACCGTCGTGATATCATAGCCTCCAGATTAACGGGGAATGTGAAGTGACGAGCAGGTTAATAGTTCCAGAACCAAAAGTTCAATTTCTTCATACAAAACAATAAGGAAGCCGACTCTGTGGTCACAATGCACCATTCCTTCTAAAGGAAGATTTGATATTCTGGCACACGTTGCAATGTCTGTAGAGACAAAGTCCCGCCTAACAAGGTATTAAGAGGAGCTATATGTGTGTATACTTATATAAACACACACACACACACACCTGCAAGAGATTGGCCATCGTCTCCATAGAAGCAGTGCGATTTGTCCCAACCTCGTAACACCGAATCACGAACTTCTCTCTGTATAGCAGATTGTTAATAAGCCTCCCTGATTTCAATGGCGCCAAGCATGGTTCCTGCTGAAAGTTCTCCCTAAAGTTGTCCACATTCCGATTAGGCTCATCAACCACAAATCTCTCTTCCAGAACCGACGCCGATGCACCTGTCGAGCTCATGTTTCCCCCTCTCTCCAACTGCCGCTCCGCGATCATCACAACCACCCCGCCCCTCTCCTTCCCTTTCCGGATCACAGTCACCCGCTTCGAAACCTCCCTGCCATCGCCTCTTAAAACCGCCCCTCCTCGCCATGCTCTCAATCCACCATTGCCCCCAACCTTGTCGATCCACAATCCCTGGCTGGCTGCAGCAGCAGCAGCCACCAAAGCTCCCCGAACCATCGTCATTACATGGACCACGCCACGCAATGCTGGACCTAATGGCACCACTGACACACACAAAACCCAGAACTCTGCATCGGCCAAAGGTTGAAGAAAAAGAACCGAGTGTGCAGATTCCAACTCCGACTTCGTGAATATGCGTCAGAATTCTGCAATCAATGCGGGGGGGGGGATCTCGTCTTGGCGGAAGAAGACAGCGAGACCCCAAACCTGGGCCAGCCAGGGGACGACGAGGAGGAGCAGGAGGAGGATGCGGGAAAGGGAGGAAAGAAAAGAGGCCTGGCGTGACTTCCGAGGCGCGGAGACGTCGAGGGGAAGGGTGAGTGCCAGTGATTGTGTGAGTGCGAGTGATTCATGAAGCACTGTGAGTGTCTGTCTCCACGACGTCCCTCCCCTCCTCGCTCTCGCTGCTGCCATCCCTCCTCCACACCCAAGATTGGGCGATAAAAAAACACAAAATACAAAAACAATATCAAAAACCCAGAAAGAAAAATAAAAACTTATATCTATATATATATATATATGCATGAAAGACTTATATATATATACATATATATATATATATATATACATATATATATATACATATATATATATACATACATACATATATGTATATATACATACACATACATATACATATACATATGTATTATATACATTATTATGTATATATATATACAGGAAAGAAAAAAATGAAAGAGGGAAATTCCCATGGAGAAACCCCCAATTATTTTTTTTGTTGTTCCGAGTGCACCAGGTTATTATTTATTTATTTATTTATTTCCCTTCTCAACCAGTGTTCCAGTTATGAAGCCGAAGTTTTGAATTGGTGGCTTGACCGGGGGGGGGGGGGGGGGGAGTCGCACGGAGGCAGCCAGTCAGTGGAAAATTTTCCGGCACGAAATGAATGTGCTCATAATAACATCAGTTTTCAAAAATAAACAATTGAATAAATAATCTGTCTGTTTGGTTTTCTTTTTTTGTGCATGAACTGTTTATTTGTTTTTTAAACAGTTGAGAATAGTTTTCACTTTACTTTTGTTTGATTCTCGTTTTATTTGAAGTGAATGCAATGTTCTTCAAATTTCAGTAGGTGTGAATTTTGTTTAAATTTTTATTATTAAATTGGAGGTACTGTTAGTAATATTAGGTTACAAATCAGATATGATATTATTTAGAACTATTCTCAAACTCATGGAGATTTCTCTACATATTGGTAGTATATGTTTTCAACAATACATGTATATTTTACATGTGATTGTTGTAGCACAATTTTCATGTTGGAAAAATATCATATATGTATCCCTCAAATATGCTAAAATATCAAGAATATCAATTTATTCTTGATAATAGAAAATCTACCCCTCATTTTTATGATAATAGCAAATCTAGGTGCATTTGCCATGTAGATTTTGGCACGACTTTGTTGAGCACATCTCATCAATATGATTTTTAATATCTAAATATCATTCAAATTGTTCAATTCTATTGTTCATATCTGATGAACACAAGCAAAAAAATGTGCAATCTTTCAAATTTTTTTTATAATATGAAGAGTGAAGTTAGATATTGCAAGTCAAATTATTTTTGATTGCAATGAATTACCAAAATGTATCTATTCTTAGGAATGTATTATTTTCTATTACTTAAAAAAAAAAATCTTTAAATTTATGAACATGAGACAAGACAATTTATTTGAAGTTTGGAGGTTGAATTTAAAAAGCTTGTATTTTGGACTAGAATTTGGATAGAAAAAATGTATGATTTTGGGTTGTAATGAGATAAATATGGTTGTTTGAAGTTTGGGTGTGGATTTGGTACCTACTATTATTCTTTTTAGGATATAGAGAGTAGTAGGAAAACATTTAGTTATCAAAAAGTGAGGTTAAAAAATTAACTTAAATAGCTATATTTTATACAAAGAAATACATACATTCCAATCTAGAACAAAGGAAAAAGAACTATTGGAAATTAGTCTTATAAACTAGGATTTGTAAGTAATTTTTTTTTAATGGAGGTTTTGATTTAGGCCATATTCAGAGTTTTTGGACAAATTTGTGGCTCAAAATTTCCATAAGTATAGATGATTATGTTGAAAAGTTGTATATAAAAATTTATGGTATTTGAGCATTGGATTTTTGAGATATAATGGAATTAGTATGTGAGTGCCTAAAAATTGATATTTTTAGTACATGCTAGCAATTAGGTAGTATCCAAAGACTTGTAATGAATTTATAGTTGATTTTTTGTGTGGAGGTAGTTAAGTATATAATTTAACTTGTGGAGACTTTTGAATCCAATTAGATGGTTAGATTAGAAGTTATTGAGTGATACATATACAAAAAGAATCTTTATGGGAGTAAAAGTGATTTTAAGATATCTAGTCACATCTTGGATACTCTTGTGTATTCTAGATTTGTGAATTTGATGTAATTTCCTTCTTGAAGACAAGCTATAAATAATATTTGTGTTTTATAAACTTGCAACTTGTTTGAGTGATTAGTAGCAGTTAGAGATCCAATACTTTCTTAAAGCAAAATCTCTCTAGTACAACATTATCTTCCAGCAAACACCTCATACTTTGAACTAAAGGTAATTTTTATACTATCATGTACTGCATATATCAATATGTTAATACATAAAACTATGATTGAGTCAAAAAGAGCCATGCTAAAATTTGTGCCATATGCAGTGTTGTATTATAAGAATCATTGCTTGAAAATATATCAAGCACTTAGTTATAGAAGATAAATAGGAAAATGCAAAAAAAAGATCCTAATAATTCTAATAGAATTTTAAATAAATTCTAATTAAATCTTAATAAACCAAATCAAATTGTGACCAAATTCAAAAGAAGTTTTGAAAGAAATTACTAAAAAAAAATAAAGAAATCATAAATTAATCTAGAAAAAAAAATACTAAAAATAGAAACTTAAAAAATAATTAAATTATTTTAAATTTATAAAAATAGAAATTATAAGTAAGTCTTAAATAAATTCTAATATAATCTTAAATAAATCCTAAAAAAACCTTATTGAAATCCTAAATAAATCCTAAACAAATCTTAATGAAATTCTTATGAATTATAAATAAATTTTAATCAAATCCTCATTTAATCCTAATAAATCTTTTAAATTCTAATTAAATTCTAATTAAATCCTAATCTAATTCTAATGAAATCTTAAAAAAATCTTAAAAAACTTCAAAAAAATTCAAAAAAATTCAAAATTAATCCAAATAAATTCCTTTAATCATTTTAAAATTCCAAAAATTATTAATCAAACCATTGATCTCAATGATTATTTCATATACGTTTTAATCTACAAGCAAATAATAGACATGTAAATTTTGAAAAAAATAAAATTCACCAACTAAGAAAAAATACTCCTAATATTCTTGGATGTTTGCTATCTTTTTTTTCCAACTTATATGTTGATTTTTTAGCAATAATTTCTCTTTATTGGACCGTCTAATTACTTTATAAATTAGCAAAATTTTACATAATTTCAAAATACTCTCACCAAATTTTGCTTCAAATCAATTGGCAAATGTTTTAAGACCAAAGAAACTCTTATTAATCCTAAAATTTAAATATTTGAGATCCTAATCCAATAAAAATTTCATATCCTTCAATTTAACCATTTGATTGATCTCAAACTTATAAAATACATTTAAGACAAGCACAATTACAAACTCACAAAAGTTCACTTAAAAATTCGATTTAACACTTGTAAATTCTTCAAAAATGTAAGCTTTTTATTATTTTTCAAAATCTTAAATCCCCAAATACAACTTTCATTTTGAAAAGCTCTCAAAAACTTAATATGCCTTCAAATCACTTGAAGCTAATGCCTAATCAACTTTTTCAAAGTTATTTTCTTACCTCCCATTGAGATGATATTATTTGCTCTAAAAAAAGATAAAGTTCATGGCTGCAACTAGGTATGGTCAAATAATATCTTTTATTCAAATGAACTCTACGACCTCATATCCATAATAGTATGTGGGAGTTATCTCTCCCTCTTCATTCAATAAGTTGCCATAGCTCTATACTTCATTGGATTTGAATATATAATAGTTTTTTTAAAGAGCTACTTAATTCATATATATATATATATATATCAAATTTTACTTCCTAAAATTCTTTATAATATACTTTATGAATAAGAAAATCTATTGTTTATATCAATACAAGGCAATTGACTCATCTTTATCTAAAAAGATATTATGGCTTTATATTAATTCTTCCTTGAGCAACTAAGAACTTTTTTAAAAGATTAAAAAGAAAAAAAAAAAAAACTTCTTTTAAAATTTCAAAATAATAAACTAAACATACTATGAAAAATCCTTCAAATAAAATCCTAAAAACAAATCTCAAAGAAAAATTCAAAAGAGCAGTGAGTTTTATTTTTATTCAAAAATATATTGAATTTTTATATTGATTCTTCTTAAAATAAGTAAGAAAAATTTTAAAAGCTAAAAAAGAAAAAAAATCCTAAAAATCTAAAAACAAAATATTTAATATACAATGAGAAAAATTACAAAAAAAAACCTTGAAAAAAGTAATTGTCATTAACTTACATATTTACTCCAATAATTACTTATATAATTAAGTAAGAATAGATAATAATAGATTGATTTTCTAATATCTTTTAAAAAAGCTTCTTATAAGCTTTATAGATGCTCCTTTGATTTTACACATGTTTGTAGTTAATTGATAAGCTAGAAACTTGGTCAAAAAGTTAGCCAATTGACACATGTGTTAGTAGATTGTAGAATAAGCTAACTATGTGGCACACATACAGATAATTTATTTTGTAAGTTAAATCATGTATCTAACAAATTCAACATGCATTGGAGGTCTTATAGAATATTGCTATATAACTCATAGTTAGAAAGTATATATGGAGGCAAGAATGAAGCCTTCTTCATTCTTATCAATGCTATTCTAGAGCTTAGTTTTATTTTAAGACTTTCTAGACTTTTTGTCTTTGTTAATAGCCATTTTAGTTTGATACTATATTATCTTTGAGTGATTTTTTAGTCTCTTTAAGTGACACAAGAGTGTATTGACATTTTAGTTCTTTGAGATTCATGTTCTTGATAGTTTGACATGATTCCTAATTTTTTGTTCTTATTTTATTTTAGAAGTGAGTGGATTATTCTACTTCTATTATTATATTTTGAAGGTTGTAAATTATTCGCCTTTAAATAATTTATTTAGTTTTTTAATATTGATTTTTTTCTTTACAAAAGTAGATTACCTCTTTTTGTAGAAATTTTCATTTGACATTAAAGATTGTGGATTATCTTCCTTTAATTTGACTTGTGGATTTATT